GAGCCGGGTGCCCGGCCTGGGGCTGGGGGCGCCCGGGGCGCGCGTCGGGGTGCCGAGGGGACCATGTGGTTCGGAGAAGTTGGAGGCGGGCGCGGAGCCGCTCGGCGGGCTTGAACTTTTCCACGCGGCTGTTTCGCGGGAGGACGCGCCGGGCGCCCGGGCCGGGGGTCCGCGGCCCGTGGGGAGCCCCGCTTCCGGCCCGGGGGTGGTCGGGGGGTGCGCGCGGCGCTCCCCTGCTCGGGGCTCGGGGACTTGGAGGCCGGGCCCACCCAGGGACCCGAGGTCGAACCGAGTCTGACCCCGCGTCCGACCCACTGACAACAAAGGGGAGGGGAAGGGGCCGACTCCGCGGAAAAGCAACAAAAACGGCGGAGAGGTGGGCGAGTGTCCGCGGGGCGAGGCTGCGCGGAAACGGAGTTTGCTAACTTTGCACCAGAGACGGGCAGTGCGTTTGCAGTGCAAGCCCTACATTTCTATTTTTTTGATCCTTTAAATTCATCATTTGTTCTTAATGCATTTTTAAAATAGGGCGCTTGCCTTTTTTTTTTTTTTTTAGGTTGAGTTTTTGTGTGTGGGTTGTTGTTGTTGTTTTATTTTTTGTTTGTTGGATTTTTTGTTTTGTTTTGTTTTGTTTTGTTTTTAGGGGAAAGATTTGTCCTAGGGGTGATTAAAGGCATTTGAGGAAAATTTGCCTTTGAGAGAAGATCACAGGTTGGGAGGGACCCTCTCTAACTGTGACACACACAGACACACGTGTCTGTGACAGCTATTCTTGAGGTTGCTCCAGGAATCTCCGCTTTCAGTTTGATTTCAGGGACTGAACACAGCCGTGTGCTGCTGTGTTGCACAGGATGAGAAACCTGTTGATTTCAGAAGCAGCTTTTCATTCCTGCTGCATTAAAAATGGCTTGTTTTTCGCATCTTTCAAATGATACCTTTTTCTTCTTCTTCAACAGGAAGGAGTCAAGACTGAGAACAACGATCATATTAATTTGAAGGTAGCGGGGCAGGATGGTTCTGTGGTGCAGTTTAAGATTAAGAGGCATACCCCGCTTAGTAAGCTAATGAAAGCTTATTGTGAACGACAGGTGAGGAAATGAACTGATGCATGCACTTTGATGGAATAAAACTATTAAGGAAAAAAAAAGACTTGTATTTTTCAGAGTAGAAACCGGACTAGGGTAGTTAGCTACTGTCTCTTCTAAGAGGAATATGAGCTTGATAGCATTTTTGTCATAACACACTATACTGATGGCTTGTGAAACCCTAAGCTATGGTTATGGTGCTAGTCATCTGTCACCTAGTTGTAACCCACTCATAGCTGACCCACCAGCAGATTTTTAGAGGCTGTAAATCACAAGTGAGCAACTCTAGATTCAACTAGAAAGCTGATGGATTCGAACCACTTGCCTTTGGGTTGTTGGTATAACACTTTATCACTAGACTACCATGGATCAAATTAGATTCTCAACCCTTGGGGGAGGGTGTTCGTTCCCCCCTTTGAACTATAATTGATAATTGTACTTTTATAAAAAAGTTGGTAACGATATTTTAGGATGTTGTGGGGGTTTTTTAATACATTGGCAATTTATGATAAAATAGAGATTTTTTTCTTAGCATTTTAGCCAATGTTGAAATAAATAAATTGAGCTTAAGGATGTTGCAAGTTGTGTAAAGAATGCAAGTCTTAGTGTTTTACTGTTTTATACTAATATTAGTGATCAGGAAACTCCACTGATCAGGAAGGTTCACCTGTTTTTATTTAAACTGATGCTAGGTGATAAAAACATACTTTTATTAAGGTTCACCTGTTTTTATTTAAACTGATGCTAGGTGATAAAGACATACTTTTATTAAGATATATCTCTCTTTGGTGAAGCCGACAGACGATAAATGCAACTTTGAAGATTAACTTTTGCAGGTATTGCAAAAACTGGTTCCCACCCCAGAAAATCTAAGAATAACATGGTTGAAGTATATTTTCTACTTTACAGTGAATGTGCAATGTGTAATATAGGAAAATCGATTTATTAATTTAATGAAAGTTATCTTCAGTGTGAGTTCTAAAAATGGGATTGATAAGTTGGGTATCCTCTGAGAAACAGTGAAGACCTTGACATTATAAATATTTAAAACTTTTATGACTTCATTTATTTATAATGCATGTAATTTTTCATAAGTTAAGACTTTCTTAGAGTTTGGATTTTTAATACACTCTTAAAGAAATTATGTAAAATCTTAAGAATGAATACATTTGTACCATTGTTGATGTAGAATTTGCTCACTGTTATCTTCATATCTCAGCGCTTAGTGCCAGTTCAGATTATAGGATGATTTTTTAGAAAGATAATTGTTTAGCAGACTTTGTAGAGAAATTTAATACAAACTAGAAACTCATACTTAGATTGTTGGTTTTGATTAATATTCCCTGAATGTTTGTTTTCTGTTACTATTATGTCTTTTAAGTGGTCGGGTTTTCTAGAATTTTAGAAGAAATTTCAAACTTTTAAATATTTTGTTATAGTGAATGGCTATTTATATCTTGAGTTTTCTTGTATTTAAAGTTGGGATTATAAATGATTAATAATTTTAAAGTTCTGTTGGTAAGGCGTTGGGCTCCCAACCTAAAGGCATGTAGTTCAAATCCACCAGCTACTCCTCTTGAGATAGACGGACAGTCTCCTCCCATGTAATTTACTACTTCTGAAAGAAAACTCGAAGGAGCTCAGCTGTGAGTCAGTTCTGACTCTACATGGCAATGACAAAATAGTTTGTAAAGGAACTCTGGTGGCAATATCCTTAGGAATTAACACTGTTAACCCACAAGTGACACCTTTTGTGGTTCGAATCTCCCTGTAGCTTCAAGGGAGACAAAGATCAGTAGTCTTCGATGCAATTTACAGCCTCCAAAAACTTGATGGCATTGAGTTAGTTAATAACTTGTTCGTGCTAGTTTCAGTTTGTACAAGAAAAGCATTGGTTGTCTGTGAAATATGTGATTGCATTCTGCTACTAATCTATTAAATGTGTAAATAATCATTGAAAGATGTGATTCAGAAAGATCAAACTGGGTGTGTATATATTTTCTTCCCCACCCAAAAGAGATTTTTAAGTCACGTAATTGTGATTCCCTAGGAGTTCTGGTTTTGGTTTTTGTTAATCTGTCTTTAAGAGTGGTAAAAGTTATTTTGTGCAAAACTTAGTTTCAGTTGTAGTCAACCTGACGATACTTAACGACTGCTAAATGAAACTATTGCTTTGTACATCATTCTTTATCAAGGTGCTGTGTGAAGTAACCTGGGTTTGCTGTGATGCTGAACCTTGTGCCATTGGGGTATCAAATACCAGACTAGTTTCCCAATGTGGACAGTGTCTGATGGGGCTCCCATTTGTAAAACAGGTTTGGAAGCAGGAGTGGCATCCACTTCCTAAACCACATGCCTCTGGAAACGATGAACTTGGAGATAGTTATGGAAAGGCATTAGGTCTTTTGTCCATAAGTCACTATGAGTCTTGCTTTATCACTCGACCGCAGTCAACACAACAAAAGTCATTTACATAGCTAAAGCTCTTTTGACATTTGAAAATCTTTAGCCAGGATTCCCAATCAAGATTAACTGCTCAAATTTACTTTCTAATGAATTCACTTAACATATCTATGGATTTCCAGTGGGTATTTGTTTTCTTTTCATTCATTGTTTTGTCAGTCACCTGCCCCCGCCTTGCTTCCAGCAAGTATTTAAGGATCTCAATAGAAGGTACAAAAGAGGACACCTGATTTCTTCCTTCCCAAGAATCCACTTTTCCTCTGACATCCCTGCTGATAAATAACATCACGCTGCATCTAGTTTCTGGGGTCACGCTAGTCACCCTCGATGCATCCTCTCTAACTCACCAGATCCATCCTTTCACTTTGTTTTGTACATTTCTTACTCCCTAACTACTTTTGTCTGTTTTTCCAGAAAATGCAAACTTAACTGAGTAGACAGATTTGTTGACTGTCGTGTCTCAGCACCTAGACCAGTCCAGGGAACACACAAATGTGTTCAATAAATAGTTGCATACCTCCACAGGTGGGTGGTGGTTGTGTACTGTGGTTGCATCAGAACCAATCCATAGGTGATCCTCAAGTTTTCAGAAGTAGTAAATATAGCAAGCCGAGAGATTGCCCATCTTTGTCCCTTGGAGCCGCTGGTGGATTCCAACCCTGTGCTTTTGGGAGTGTAGTGCAGCTTCTTACCACTAGGCCGCCAGAGCTCCCTCCAGAAGTTGGTTGGTGAATGTTTTTTTACTCACATGCAGAATAGTATTTATGTGACTGCTTTGTGCTAGTCGCAAAGCCTTCCGAGCATACTATTCCATTCTAGTGTGGTGGATTTCACTCTAGATTGTTTTGTGGAATGTCAGGTGGTTTCATAGAAGGTTACAGGTTTAGTTCAACTCTTTTGTGAATAAAGAAACCTGAAAGAAGAACTTTGTACAACTTTCCCAGGGCAGAGCTCAGAGATGAAATTTATAACATTTGTTTGAATTAGAGTAAATTCACTGTTTGAGTATACATCACTTATGGTACTTAAAGACTAGCTTCCAGGATTTTAGGCTTTAGAATGCTAGAAAATTCAGGAGTTAAGCTTTAGTTTGAAGGGGGTTTAATAAAAAGGTAAAAGATTGCATTATCTAAAAAACAAATTGTAATTGTGTGGTAACTTAATTGAAGGGCTTTCATAAAACAACATAGTTTTTTTAATCATGCATTTTTTTATTATTTTTTGTGTGATATTTCAAAATAAAAGATAACTAAGAGGACTTAAAATTTCCCCAGTTAGGTAAATAGTCGTCATCTGAGGAAGTACTAGTCAGAAGGTGGTATGGCAATTACTACAATTTTACAGGAAAGCAATTTACTCTCCATGTTAAAGACAGATTGAATCCCTGTTAAAATAAGGGGGTGGGTAACAAGTGTGATAAAATATTTGTTGGAAACTTCACTTTTTAAAAAAAAAATTTTTTTTTTGCCTTAAGAACTCATTTTGATTTGCTATTAAATACAGCTGAAACCTGTAGTTTGTGATATGATTATGTACACAGGTTCACAGCATAACTCCGAAAGTGTTTTCCTCCATTTGATAATACTTACCAATGTCAATACTGCTCAAGAAATCTAGATCCCCAGAGGGGGGGATGTATAAGTATCTTTTTTATTTGGCTACTTTCCTGTTTCTTCCCACTTAACCCCTTAAAATTTTATGTGTTGCTATTTCTGTTCTGAGAATAAAAGAAAATGAAGCTGTTTAGGTGGATGTTGCTTTTCATCTATTTTGTATTTATTGGACATCTTTCTGGGGCAGAGGAAACCGTGCAACAGAGACCATCAAACGAGGCGCTTAGTTTGTAGTATTGGGATGTGTTCTCCATTGGAATGGACTCATAGCTGACCCTCCAGTGGGTTTTCAGAGGCAGTAAAACAATCTAGAGAAGATTGCCATCTTTCCGTTGTGGAGCAGCTGGTAACAGGTCTGAACTGCTTGCCTTTGGATGGGCAGGAACTGGGCCATGGGAACTCCGGAGTTTGTAGTGCATTTTAGAAATTCACAATTTTGCCTAAGTACTAAGAAGGAAATAAGTGCTACTTTTGTGCTGTTCCAGAAATTCCTGGCTGAATTGTGATCTTAGGAAGGTTTTAGAACATTAAAGCTCTGTGGTCTGTCTGCTCAGCGAAAACCCTTGGGGATGACCCCAGTGGATCTCAGCAAAAACTTGCCACACATTGTGCTGGGTGTGAGGTGTGGTAGTCAATCTTTATACCTTTTTAGATGACTGTTTTTTATTAAAACAGAATCCCTCCCCATGTTCATTGAGAGGTACTGGGTATGTGCATCTCTCATTATAATTTCATTTCCGGATGTCATAGCTCTTTTAAGTTCAGTATTTACCTTAATAGTGTGAGTTGAGAGTAGGTAAGATTTCAAAAACAGGCTTTATTTGAAAGACATTTTTGACTAAACATAATTTATTCTATATAGGATTCTTATTGTTTATGTTCTTCCTTTAAAAACTGTAGGGTTTGTCAATGAGGCAGATCAGATTCCGATTTGACGGACAGCCAATCAATGAATCAGATACACCTGCACAGGTAAGTAAAAATACCAAATAGAAAAATCTGATTTAAAAAAAATTTTTTATTTTTAAAATGGCTTCATTTAAGAATCTGTAAACTATATTGAATATAGCTACTTATCAGCATACTTTATAATGTTTAAAATATAGCTGTATAAAATAAGGTTAACAGGAAAATACACTACCATTTTGAAAATAGATGAGTTAGTAAATTTTTTGTTTACTGGTATAGTTTGGAGTAAATAATTAAAACTTGTCTGTTTTCCTCTCGATAAAGTTTTTGTTGCTATATTCCTTTACCAAACCCAAGTTAATCAGTCGATTTAACCTTTTTTGTCCCTGTATGCTGAAATAGAAACAACTGTGGCTTGAAGCAAATCTCTTGGTATCTTAATTTAACCAAGAGGGTGCGGGTAATAGACTTTTCTATACTTGTTTCTATAAAAGATGACATTCTTTGATCTCTTAATATCTTCACACACCACTTCACTTCTGTTGTTTTGGGATGACTGGATGGGGCTTCCTCCTCTGGCAGAAGCTCCTTGTCTTTTCACCCTCAAGCTTTCCAGTCTTGGAGGAAAGTTTAGACAGAAGAATTGAAATTAGAGTCCTTCAGTTTTGAATTTCTGTTTTTATCATTTGACAAGTCAAAATGAGTGAGTGTTGTATTAATTATCTGCAGTGATTCTGGATGTCTGAGTTCTCCTTTAAGAACAAGTTTTTCCAAGACATTTCCATTGGTGTTTTTGTCTTGAAGAAGCATTTGTTAGATGTAGCCACAAGGAGGAGCTAAATTCTCTTGGTAAAAGAAAATGACTCTTTCATCATCCTTTGAAGACAGTTTGAGTATAAAATTTAGCATTCCAAAAAAAAAAATTAGCATTCCAGTAGTTTTAGTAGATATGGTCACTTGTTTCTGTAGTTTCAGAAGTACTGAATAAAAAATAATTTCTTAATTATTTAAAATTATCTAAAATCGCAGATAAGTTATTACAATGCTAATTCAATTGAGTTGCCATATAGGCCTAAACATTTCTACCATCAGAGTAGTTGTGTTTTATGTTATGAACGAACTATAAGCATAAATTGTGAACCAGGTTCCAAATTTTTGGAAATTTTTATCTTTAAGAATAAAGCACCCGCAACAGTGAATGAACGGAAATCCAAAATCTCTGTAAATGTTCATTAAAAAGATAAAGTACCCATATTCCCAACTTTTTTGTCTAGGTAACATGGTTCCTGCATATATGCAAGGGTGTGTTAATTTACTAGAGATTTTATATATATATATATACACACACACACTTAAAAAAACACAGATATAATAATAAGTTTAATTTCTATTTTAGCCTGCTAACATTACGGATAATTCCACTTCGCACATGTAATTTACACCTGCATAATATTTCTTGTGTTGGGTGCACTATGGTTTATTTCTTTGTGGGTTTTTTTCCCTCTCTTTAGTAGGTTCTTTCTAATCTTGTTTTAATTTAACATATTGCCTCACACTTTTAAATTGACGAATATGCTTAGAAACATATTTTTTATGGCTATAGCCGTTATTTGCAGCAGCGTGTTAAATAATACTGCAATGAAATAGATTATGTATGCACATCATTTCTTTTTAGGAACTAAGTTTAAAGTGACCTAATTTAATCATGGACGCATATACTCTAACACAGGTTTCTAAAAGGAGGGTAAGTGAAGAGTTAAACTCAGTCTGATAAGAGAGTTCTAAAATACTGAAATTCTGGTATTTGTACTGAACTTGCACCTGTTTCTCAGGATACTTAAAGTGAAAATTGTCTATTTTCTGATGTAAATTTGTTTCCCTTTTGTTTCCCTTCCCCCCCGCCTTGTCATGCTAGTTGGAAATGGAGGATGAAGATACAATTGATGTGTTCCAGCAGCAGACAGGAGGTGTCTTCTAAAATAAGCACAGAGGAGCCTGCTGTTTTACTCCAGAACTCTGTTCCTGCAGACCAAGAATACCTTCTCAATTAGAAAACCACAATTGGGTTCCAGCACATCCTGACTACTACAGCCTAGTTTCTCTCTTCTTTCATTTCCCCCTCCCTATTCTTTTATTGTACATAAAGTAACTGGTGCATGTGCACATGCATATTGCAGGTTTGTTTTGTTTGTTTTTTTTTATAAACTAAATGGCCAATGGTATGTTTTGATCAACATCTAGTGGAGATGGGATGGGGAAAAATACTGGTTCTGTGAAAATACCCCCTTTCTCCCTAAGTGGCATGCTCATTCAGCTCTTATCTTTATATTCCAATAAGTTATTTTGTTCTCACTGTTTAACAAAAAACGACATAAAAAAATAATCCTTACATACCTTGTTTGATTGGAGAATTTTAATGTTTTTCATTTATCATTGTAAAACCAAGGACAATTTTATAACTTTTTTGTACGTAGCTGTTACATGTAGGGCAATCTGTCTTTAAGTAGGGGTCAATTACTCTAAAAAAATGAATCCTAGATAGTTTTCCCTTCAAGTCAAGCGTCTTGTTGTTTAAATAAACTTCTTGTTTAAAATGAGCTGTTTTCATTATTCTGAAGAATGATACAGAAAGATGAAGCTTAGAGAAAACACGGTAATGAATAAACCTACTAGATACAATGTTTTAAGGGTGAAATCAAGCCACACAAATCTGATGCAAAACAGAATAACAAAGTTATATAAATAATGAGCATCAGAACTTTCAGCAGCTTCTTTGTTCAGAAAGCTTAGGTACGTTCAGTTCTACTTGCAACTTTACTGCTCCAAAAAATTGGGTCATAATGTGGATTTCATCCCATATATCTCTGTAATCATCACCTGAGGCTGAGTTACACACGCAGCGGAGGATAAGTTTGGGTTTTTGCCCACTCAGCTGACAAATCCTTGAAGCATCCTGACCTGCAGTTTCTCTGAGCAGTAAATCACTCCCTAACCCGAAAGAAAGAGTGTTTATTCCTTATTTGGAGGAGCCCTGGTATAGTATAGTGGTTATAGCATATACCTGCTAACTAGAAGTTTGATTAAACCTATGGAGAAAGATGACGGTCTACTTCTGTGAAGATTTGTGGCTTTGGACATCATGAGGGGCAGTTCTCCCGTTAAATAGGATCACTGAGTCAGAATCCACTCTGGCGGTGCTTGGTCTTTGAGAATGTTGAGAGTCCAACTTCATCTAATACATACTAATTTTTGATAGTCTTGAACTTTGCAAAGTACTGTGGTTTAAAATTAAGATCTATGGGGGGAAAGAATTCTGTCAACAAAATAGACCAAAGAGGAACCTCTCGAGGGCAGACCTAATTTTTCTTTTGGCAGTCCATGGTAAACTTGGTACTCTTCTTTAAGAGCACACTCAAAAGACTGGTGATTGTTTTATCATCCTTAGACATTGTTCTAATAAGAGCTAGTAACTGAGATCTGGATCAGGCACACTTCAGTTTCTAGACTGATACTTGCTCTTTAGCACTCTGGAGAAGTCTGGGAGCAGGTGACTCCCAGGGCAACTCTTGATTTTTGTGGATCTGAGCAAGATGAAGTAATTTAAAGCCTCAAATCTTTTTCTCTATGTAGCATGGTAGTGCCTTTTGGCCTGGTGGTGAGGATCTTTGTTTTCTTGATGTATGTACTTGACCCTCTGTAGCAGTGGTGATAAAATTGGTTCTAGAGATCTGAAGCCTATTAAATAGTCTATAATGCTGATTCTCTGGGAGCTAAACTGGTCCACATACTTAAACAAGTACCCTCCTGATTTTTGTCAGCACAAATGGGTTGGGTTTTTTTAAAGCCAGATCTGCCCCCTCTTCAACAGTTGAACAGGGATGTAGTGTGTGTGTGTGAAAAAATCTTGAACAAACTCCATTTGTAGTTATGTAGATGGGAAGGGAGCTGTGGTGGCTGAGTCCATAGAGACTGAACTGTTGACTGCAGACCATGCCCTGTGGCTGGCTGAATCCAGCAGTAGCTCTGTGGAAGAAAGATCAGAGGCCCTCTCCTCCTGAAACCCCCCCGGAGGGTAGCTAGGAGTTAGTTTTTTTACCAACCTGACTTTACAATTCTGTCCTGATCCTTTAAGATGTGCATAACCTATCCCTAAGAATTCTTACTGTAAAGAGATCAGATAAGTATGTTTGTCCTGCTTGTTATTCTCAAACTCACTGGTGGATTCTGGTGCAGAATGATCTTCCCTAAATTTCCAAGACTAAATCTTTTAACAGGAGACTCCAAGCCACTGGGGGATTCGAACTGCCTGCCAGCAATGTAGCCTTTTTGTTAGCAGTGTAACATGCAACAGACAGGCTACCAGAGCTGCTTTTTGCTGTATGTATGACTGTGTGCCATTGAGTCAGAACTGATACATAGCTGACCTGGTGGATTTTTTGGAGTCAGTAAATCAAAACAAAGAAATTGGCTCCTGCAGAGCAGCCAGTGGATTTGAACATGTGCCTTCTAGGTATTATGTAATGGAATCAGTTGGTGATCTAAAAGGATTGAATGTCTCAGATCATTTTACTCAATGGGTCTTGGGACCTTGTGTAGCCAATCTAAGCCAGAAGAATTTAACAATATCAGAACTTGGGCTTTTGTTTGTTGGGTAAA